GCCGGGAGCGCCGGGCAGGGGCGCGGCCGCCGCCTCCCCCCGGTCCCCGGTAGGGCCGGGCCGGGCCCGGGGCTCTCCCGGTGCCGCGGGGGCACGGACGGCTGGGCGGGCAAAGTTGGTGCCGCGGCCCGGGCAGCGAGGGCAGGGGCTGGGCGGGACAGCCCGGGATGCGGGAACTGCTGGCGGAGGAAGCGTGGCTGAGGTCAGGCACGGGCAGCGTGTGTGCGGTGCTGCTCCTCTGTTTGGCCAAGCAGAGGAACACGAGTTCTTTTCTGGCGGGGGTGGATGGCAAGTTTTTTTTTTTTTTATTCCTAGTTCTCGTCCTTGAAGTAGATGTGCTGGAACAGGTCAGCCGAGAAAACGAGGCTGAGTGATTGTAACGTGTATTAAAGTAACGTGTATTGTATACTTGTATTAAATACTTACGTACATATTGGAGGGAGAATGCTGAAAAAATGTTGGAAAGAAGCTCTTAAAGGTTTAATAATAATTAACATGGATAAAACCGAGACTATAATCTAGTGACTTTCGCATCAGCCTGTTGGCGCTAATACAGAGCGACAGGGAATGTGTTGGTGAACGGTAGCATGCAGATTTTTTATTATTTCTCTTTGGATATGCTCGGAGTCTGCAGAGGCATAGAGATGATGGGTTATGTGACAGCCTGCATCTCGGGGTTGTGGAGGGGGGCTGGGCTTGTGTCGCTCAAGAAATTCAAGTTTGAGAACAGGGAGACACGAGACCAGCGTGCCTTTGTTTTATTTGGTCCTGAAAGTGAAATATTACTAAGCGAGATTTCTGAAAGATAGAAAAATAAGTCTGATTCAGAAGAGGAAAGACTGATATAAGATAAAGGATATAAGTTTGATGATTTCCACACAGAATGGTCTTGGGGCAGTCTGGATTTCTGGGCTAAAGTCTTCAAGTGCTGCTGATTCAGACAGTGACATATTGCTGAAATTGCGATAGCAGTGATACCTGTTACGGTGCACGCTGCATGAACCAAGTCGTTGAACTGCTTCCTGATACAATCAGTGTTTTCAGTTTCTCCATCTGTATGTGCAGTACAAGTTCCTGTTTGTTTCACAACGTGTGTTTGTATAATCAGTGTTAGCATCTTCAGTTCGCGTGCTTTGTACTGAAGGACGAGCCACAGGGCAGATGATCGAGGAAATGAATGCAGCTTTACTGCGTGACGGCAGTCGGAGCTGGAACACTTGTTAGGCACTTGTGTGCGTGGGGAAGGTTCCCGTTCACTGCGTGAACCTGTGACCCAAAGCCGTGTCCCGGCTGGAATGCGCAGGCGGTGCAGACGCTGCCGCCACCACCCACGGCTCGTACGGGACATTGCCCTGCGTGCAGAGGAAAGGTTGAGTCTGCCTTGCTGTCAGATACCGGCTTCCATGAGCACGACAACATATGAGGAGCTCAGTGTGGGACCCTTAAAGCAGATTGTGTAAGTGTGGTTTTTTTAATTGATAGACTGCTTTGGCTGTTTTGCTGTAGATGATGACAAAATCTGGGTTAGACTCATAACCGGAAAGAATGCTGTGGGAGTTGATGTTTTTCCTGTAGAAGATGCAGGTTAGGGATTGGGGCTTGAAATTTAAGTATGAAACTTTTTTTAATTGTCTTTTTTAATAAAGTATATATATTCTCTAAAGACAGGGGTATATAAATAGTTTGACCAGCTTTGCATACAGACCTTGGTTGCTTAGGGGCAGATGCAATGTTTAATTCATTAGCTGCTGTGCTCAAGTTATTGGTGGTTTGGATCTATGCCTGAAAATAATTGAGATGCACTTGAAATTCAGATTCTGTGATTGTATTGCACTGGAAAGGGCAACATATGACTGTATATATCAAATCATGTAGTATAATACAAAGCAACTTCCTCTTTTTTTCTTTTACTCCTTCCACACCTACAAGAGGAAATATAAATAAAGATCCTGTAACATCTCAATTTCCTTTACTGAAGTAGGGGAACGTACAGTCAATGTTTGGAGTCTGTACATAACAACTACTAAATCTGAACTTGCAGAAAGTATTTAGGTAGTTGGTTTTTAGCAGTAAATCAAAACGTAGCAGTGTCACTTCTCAGCAATCACACCATGAAAGTCAGCACTGTTTGTTGGATGTCCTAACAGGATACAGCCAGATGCTAATAGATGATCTTTATACCTAGTAATTTTATTGCTTGATGAGGTCAGTATTTTGGGAAACTCATTGTCCTCTGAAAAGAAGACCTTGAACAGAAAATAATATTTTAGTCATAACAGAAAAATATTTGCACATTTTAAGACAGAGATGTTGAGAAATTCATAGTAGAATAACACAATTTGTTATTTTACATCAAAATAAATATTAACTTGTGTTAAGTATTAAGAAGTTTAATATTACTATTTTAAAATATTTTAGCTCCAAAGAGAATCAAAGCAATGAAAAGACTGATATCAAATCTCTTTGTAAGTCATAACTCACACATAAGAATTACATTACTTTTTCAGAAGCACTTGCTTTTGTGGAAGCTTTTCTTCTCTGTACTCTGGGACTGGGACAAGTTCTGTTCAGTCATGCAAAGTAGGTTAGACTGGACAGGGTCATCTCAGCTTTCTTGCCCTGTAAGTTACTGATCCTGCATGTGTGTGAGCATCTGATGCATTATTTTGTGGATATTTTATGCAGTTCACTTAAGTTCTTATAACTGAGTTCACAGATGAAAAGTTGAAGCTCTGGGGAAATGACACTAGGCTCTGCTGTACCAGAATAAAGATTCCTGTCTTCTTCAGAGTGTATATGAAATTAGTATCTAAATAAATATAATAATCAAGTGAGATACCCAGTAAAGTCTTTTATCTAGAAGTCTTTAGTACTCACATTACACTGAATGACCAGTGGCTGCTATGCAGTTTTGAGGTGCAGCTTTCTGGATTGCCTTTAACACAGTTTTTATAGATCTCCCTCAATTAATCTGTGTTCTTACACAAAGTAGTTACTGTCTTTGAAAGACTGAAGCTTTCTGAAAACGGGCTTATAGTAGCAAAACCTTAATGGTACTTCACAGTTGCTTTTTTTATCTCTGGTCATTCTGCATCAGGGTTGTCTGGTGGCTTTGTAGCCAGGATGAACAGAGATATAAAGAGTGCAATATTTGCAAACAGAATAAAATGTCCTTGGGGCTTCCAGATTGGAAAGAAACTGTATTTTCAGACAAAATTGTATTTTTTCTTTTTAATACACCCACCTTAATTTGACTTCTGAGTATCGTGAAGTGGATTCATTCAGTATTACATACATGACAGCTGTAAATCTGCCTTTTGATTGCTTTGAAAGAATGTGAAACAGCTAAAGGGTGTTCACAAGATGTGAAAAGCATGTTATCATGCCATGGTAATTGAAACAACAGCTGAAACAGATTTCACTACCAGAAATATCTGTCTCAAATAAGATCGTGCATGGAGGGCCTAATTCTTCTTTGCATTGACCCTGTGCCATCTTTCACCGTTGTTACAAATAAATATATAACTCTCTGTGGTGGGAATGGTGTCACTCTGCAGCCAGCCCAGGCAGAGCAGAGCAACATAGCAGCTGTGCTATAGCTGCAGTGTAAGTCCTAAAGTGAAAAGTGGGGGAACAGTGGCCAAAAGTCCCTACATTTTTAAGTTCACTGAGCATAAGAGCAGAAAATTCAGCATGAAAGCGCTGGCTCAGTCTTGACCTTGCTCTTACAAGTGTCTAAGAAACTAAACAAACTGTGTCTGCTCTGCAGCTTCTGTGTAATGGATATTCTATATCCTCCATCTACACTGGTGGCAACAGCCCTGCCTGCCTTGATAAATGGAAGTGTTGGCTAGAGATTACAGTGCTTCTGCTTCATTCATAAGAGAGGGGTAAAATGAGCAAAGTGAATGAATAGGTTTAGAGATAGTAACCCCTTTGTGTTGGTCCCTTTCACAAGCCATAGGCAGGTCTCTAAATGACTGCTGTACCTTTTAACTTTTTCTAGTTACTATATCATGTTTTCCTCTTTTCATTATAAGTATTTGTCCTGGTTTAGGGCAAATTTGGGAGGAAACCTCTGAGTGGGGTTTTATAGGGAAAAAGATCTAAGCAGTCCTTTTTTTAGTTGGCTTGGGGAAAAAAAAAAACAATCCAAGGAGCTTCTCTGCCTCAGCTGGCCAGGAAAACTAACCAAGAGCAAAAGAAAGCTCTCTCTTCCTGTCCACTGCAGACAACACAGTCTGTCAGCAAGAAAGCAAAGGAGCCAGTGCAGTCTCTGATAACAAACTCTGCACTTCTTCTTTCCCCCCCTTCACTCCTGGAACCAGTCTTAAAGTTGCAAAATTTAATATTCAACACCAACAAAACAGACGATTTGGAGATACAGGCATCATACAAGACAGTAAAAAAAAAAAAAAAAAAAGAAAAAAGAGAACAAAATATGGTACTGCATCACAAAGAAGTTCTTGGGTTCTTTTGTTCCTCTTTCAAACCCTATTGTTTTAAAGCTATTATGTTATTGCTTTCCTAACTGGCATAGTTTTGTGTGAGAGAAAAATATGTATGCAGCAACAGTACTGATGTGTATAAAATATTCCTGACAGGTTTTTGGCTTTTGTCCAAATCAGTTACACATTTTTTATATGCTAAAGAAGAAAAAATAAATAACGCTATATCTGTTCAAAATCTATAGATCTGCTGTTAAGTGAGTAGACACATAAAGAAAATCATGAGGCACATAAAAGGCCAGCCAGGCTTACATACCAGGAAAACAGACTGGGGTTTTAGCAACTCACTTTCAGAGGGAATGTTTGCTTCTCTTAGGGATATGTAAATCGCTGCAAAAATATCTGTCAAATTCTGCCTAGGATTTGGACAGAATGTTGCTTTTATTGGTCAGTTGTGTGAGTGTGAACAGCTTAACACGTGTTAGTGATGTTACTTCTGTTGCTGCAGATCGTGTTTCCTGGAGTATTTTCAGAGTTAAACCCTAAATAACTGATCACATTTCTACTGAAAACAAAGGAAATTTTGGCATAAAAATAAAAAAAGAGAGGGATTAGCCCCTAGACTAGTAAATTGGCAGAGAGGGTGGAGACTATCTCTGTAATATACTGTGTGAGTGATAGATGTGGGGCCTAACAGGGCATTTAATGCAGAATGAAAGCCTTTTTTAGCTTTGAAATGACTAAGTAGCAAATTATGCAAAAGCGGATTGTAAAAAATATCCTTGGATCAAGTGATCATGAGTTTACATTGATTTAACAGTAGGATAAATTATGCAGTCCCATGTGGGGGTACTTGGGCTTGCTCTGAACAAGCTCTACCAAGAGCTGTAAAGGCCTGGAGCAGTTGCAAAATGAGTATGCTGTGGTTACTCTGCTCCTTTCCTCTGCCCAGACTGTTTGACCTGCTTGTATTTCTCCAATACTTCAATCCTTTATCCAGTCCATCAGGTGGGGCCTTGTACATTTGCACTAATACTTACCAGTTCTAGTCAGAATATATATCCTGATATCCCCTAGAATCACATTTTCTGTGTTTTTTTCAGAGCTGGATCAGCCTAGCTCTGCATTTCTTCTGTTTTTCTCAGTACTAGTAGCTTTTGCTGAACCTTTAGTATCATCATGCAGAGTTACTTACTTTTGCTCCATGTACAGTGCTTCTTTCTCCAGGGCAAACAACTCTACCTTTTAAATGAAATGCCTCTTTTTGCCTTGCCTTGCATCAACAGCAGGCAAAAGGTGCAGTGAATGGTGACAAGGGCAAAGAAGATGGAGAGTGGGAATGGAGAGACTGGTAGGAAACCACTAGGAAAAGGGAGAAATATTCACAAAGTGAAATAAAGAAAGAAGATGGGCCGGACCCAGCCTGGTTAATGTGAAAGCTGAAGTCCAAAGCCAGCATAAAATTTGACACCAGAATTCATGGAAACAAGTGAGTCGTCATCTTTAACCTGCTTGGTCTGATGGTAGCAGACACTGATTGTTCTGAAAGTATACTTGGGAGCTGTTCAAAGAAAACTGCTTTTCTCCTTTGTGCCTACGATAGATACAAATGCAAAAAAAATATTCTATTGCCATTTAATCCCTAGAATAATTTTCCTTCTTCATCAAGCAGCAAAGTCAGTTGAGTATTTTTGAATCCCTGATGTTCATTGCTTATGCCATGTGTACAGGTAGGTATCAATCACAGTTCCCTCTCTAAATTTAATGCCTTTCCCAAGGAATTACAAATGAAGACCTTTAATAAGTCAAAGGGCTGAAACTTCAATTTAATAAACTCATATTGTTTTTCTCTAAGCACTTTGTTTTATTAGCAATTCAGAACAACTAGGCCTACAAATCACAACGTCTTTTGACAGGATTTTTTTTTGTTGCAATTGCAAATGACTGCAATTTGTTGCTCATTGTACAAAATAAAATCATTGTCCTGAGTAAATGGATGGAAGATTGG